CACGAGCTTCACGAGATGACGAATGAGGCTGTTTGCGCGATCGAGTCTCTGCCTGGTGTCCTCCAACTCCCTTTGCAGCAACTCGACGGTGGCAGCCGCTTCGCCGGCTCCTTCGGTCTTAACTGGTGTTTGAGAAGCGTCATTGACATTTTTTGTCGCCGGGAACTCATGGTGCGTGCTGGCGCGTGCCGCCTGCAGCCGGAGACCGGTGTTCCCGCAGCAGCTAACCCAACAGCAACGCGACAGCGTCGCCCGAATTAAAGGCATTCGTAATGCAGAACTGCACAAACGGTGCTGCTTTGCCAACATTTCTCGCTCGGTCCCGTCCTATAATGTTCTATTGTCCTTATTTCGCTCTAGTCCTCAGTGGGATTGCGTGTATATGTGTCTCATGGAGGAGGAAAGAAAAAAAAACAAGGGGGGGGAAGACTGAAGGATGCAAGCGGTGCAAAGGCAACACGCATGGCGAGGTCAGTGCGCACGCTACCCCACACATCCATACAGATGGCAGCAGCAGCGTCCCTATTTGGGCACTGGCCGACGGCAAGCGTCATGTCAAAATGCACGAATGTAAGAAAGTATGTGTTGCTGCTGTGTGTCTGCGCTTGCAGTGGGCGATGCCGTGTGCTCAGCCTCTTCCGCCCACGCGTGAGCGTCCGCAAGAGTCCCCATTCTTTTTATCCCTGTGCGGGAGAGGAATTGACGCCATCGCGCCTCTTGCCAATTCGCAGAAGCTACGAAACACAACTAAGTAATGAACACACACGCATACACAGAGAAAGCGAAAATCAGGTGCGACCATTTCAAACGCTGCAGCCGTGACACAGAATAGCACCACTGTGAACACGGCAGAGAGAGAAAAGGGGTGCGCAGAGACTCGCATCTACCGTAATAGCCATGTCCTTGTGATTGCCGGTATCTTTACATTTCTTTTTTTTTTTTGTGGGGGGTGTTCTCTTCTAGCGAGAGAGAACCTCTACTTGCTTGCGTCATTATTCCGCTGTCCTTCATGATCCAGCCTGCTGCTCTCTACACAAAAACACACAGACAAAGAATCTTAATTCTGCGACTCACGCCTGTGGCTGTAGCAACCGGAAGCCCGTCGGCACGGCTGTCGTTAAGTCTGTGCGCAGCCGATACTCCCAGTACGGCATGGCGCCCGAGGCGGGGAAGGCCGGCGGGAAAATAATCTTCAGTACGTCCTCGAGCACCTCCTCCTTCAGGAGCCTGTCCGACACCGTCGTGGTCGACAGCGACGGCGACGAGTTCACCTCGATCAGGTGCGGCCGCAGCTGGCTGTCGATGAGCACGTCGTAGCCGTAGAGCTCAAAGCAGTGCTTGTCGTTGCACATCACCGCCTCCACGGCCCGAAGGCTGTGGTAGATGAGAAACTCGATGCTGCGCATGAGCCCGTCGGCACACGCGGCGCCGTAGCGCCCCTGAACGAAGAGGCACAAGTTCGCCAGCGACCACTTGCCGCCGTGTGACTCGTTGTACGCCTCCTCGCCCTTCTGCAGCGCCACGTTGGTGAGATGTGAGCCGAGGTCGTCGTCCGTGAGGGCGTTGGCGACGTACCGCGTGGCGCAGAAGCGTGCGAAGCCCTGCTCGTGGAAGTACGCCACCAAAGGCTTGAAGGACGTCACGAGAACGTACAGCCGCAGGTCGAACTTCTTCCCGCCGATCAGAAGCGGGTCGGCGACATATTTGGAGACAATAAATGCGCCCGGCGCCGCCCCCTCCGTTTCCTCCGCGTCCTTCCGCTCCCGCAGCCACCGCTTCAGCTGCGACACGCGGTTGATGAGGAAAATGCCGCGCCCCTGCGAACGGGCGGTGGGCTTCACGATCCACGTGCGGCCGGGTTGGCGCCGGAACTCCTCCGCCAGCATTTGCAGGTCGTTGGGGATGTTGTGCGTCACCGGCACGCAGTCCGCGAAGCGCAGCCAGTTGCGGTTGCAGTCACCCTCGTCCCCCTCATTTATGCCTGGCGGTGTGAACGTCACCCGCAGCTGCGCGTTGGCGGGTTCGCGGATGTACTTCTTGATGTTCTTGTACATCAGATCCTTGCGCGTCAGTTCGTAGTGGTTCGGGAAGTGGTTGATGATCTGGGAGTCCGTCAGGCGGTACTCGGAGGTGGAGAAGATGCTGCGCACACGCGCCACATTCATCCAAAAGAAGTGCCAATCGCCCGTCATCACGTCGTCTTCTTCCATGATCTCAATGCTGCGCGGAAACCACTGGAAGGCGAAGTGAATGACGTGCTTGTCCAGGTCCGTGCGGTACAGCAGCGGCGGGGCAGCGTCGCCGCTGCGCTCATCCGTGGCAAGCAGCGGCGTCTTGTAGTAGCCGTTGCTGCTGATGTTGTTGTTGTTGTTGCCGCGTCCCGCCGCCGCTGCCGTGTCGCGCAGAGGCGTGGCGGATATGACTCTGCCGGGCACACTGCTTGTCGTCATTGACATTCTGCTCGTTGGGCGCATGCTACCCTGCCAACAGGACGACGGCGCGCCTGCTGTTACGGTTGCTGCAGTCGACGCCACCATCGTGTTGGCCTTCCCGTTGGCACGCCCCACCGCAGGCCGCGGCTTCCTGCCGTCATTGGAGTAGCGGAGCGCCTTGGGCGGCATATTGCTGCTGCTGTAGTTGCTGCTGGGTATCCCACTGTGTCACCAGCAGTGCTACAACCGCCACGCCCGTTGGGTTCCTCCTTCTGC